TATCTTGTAATAATCTACAACGGAAAAGAACCTGAAAGGAATGTATCACTTTGTTGTACACCTGAAACTAACCCAACATTGTAAATCAACTATACGTCAATTAAAAATAAATAAATAAATAAATAAGCGGAGTTAGCACGTGTGGCTCTCATGATAACACTGAGGGCGGACACCAGCAAGAGGGATCACTGAGCCATCTTCAAGGCTACTCGTGACAAGCAACTTGGCTTCTCTGTACTTTAGTTTTGTCATCTGTAAACTGCTACCTTATAGGAGACATGATGAGAATTAAGAGAATTAAAACACATCAAGTGCTGAGAATAGTACCCGGCATACAGTGAACACTAGGGAAATACGAGCTAAGTACGGACACAACAAATAATGCGAACGCACACACCTGCTCCAAACAGGGCACAGCGCAGTCTGCAGTGGTGGGTGGTTAGTCACTTCAGTTGTATCTGACTCTTTCGCGACCCTATGGACTGTAGCCCGCCAGGCTCCTCCATCCAAGGGATTCTCCAGGCAAGAAGACTGGAGTGGGTTGCCGTTTCTTTCTCCAGGGGATCTTCCCCACCCAGGGATCAAACCTGCATCTCTTCTGTCTCTTGCATTACCACTGCGCCACCAGGAAAGCCCAAGTCTGCGGCAATTGTTCAAGAAATACTTGCCTTAAATGACCCCTAGTTACTCAAAAGAAGTTTGAGCATGTGGAAACTACCCCAGGAACAAAAGTACTTTCTAAAGGTAAAAGTACCTACCATAATTACCAGGGTGAAGGGGTCACATAGTCACCTCCAAATTTCCCACTAGCGCTCCTCTTATCAGAAATTTCCACGCAGCAAGCTCCAGTGCACTCCTGAGTCATCTCTATGTCTAAACAGAAAAGGCCGACCACACTTCGCTCTGCAAAGGCACACCACTTGCCTGACTGCAGAAGCTGCCTAATTAGCAAAACCACACAATTTGTAAGTTACAGAAAGAAGAGTGAGAGCCTGTCTACTTCCCTGGGGCCTTTATCACCATGCTCAGCAGTTTACGTGAGATTAGGAGTCACCTGTGAGCTTTTACAAACAAGACCCACCCTGATATTTTAGGGAAAGATGGGTTACTCCATTCACCCCTAATCTATAAAGTGTAATACGGGGGGCGGTTGGGGGGAGGGCGGTTAAGGAGTGTGTCCTGCTTCACACACATCCCTCTTGTGTAATCCAGGCCTCGGTGGGTGGGGGAAGGCAGCCAACCTACCACCCAGCAGACGTGGTAAATGGGTCAGGAATCAGGTGATAGGAGGCTGGACGCCCCACTGCCCTCCCCCGGCCACAAAGCCCGAAGCAACAGCTGCAACTCCCAAGGGCAAGTAAACACAACTCCACTCACCACACAGGGCCTCCCGAGAGGGCGCTCCAGCTCACAGCGCCCAACGTGCGAAGGCCACCTCTGATTCAAAAGCCCCACGGAAGCAGGAAGCAGGACCAGAAAGGCCAGCCAGGCAACCTGGAGAGGGCACTAATGCAGGTTAGCCACCAGGCCTGTCCACGCTCATCCTGCTCACGCCCAACAACTGCCTCAGCAATTTTTTTTTTAATCACCCTGCTCAGTTTACTCAGAAGTGCAATGATATGAGGGAGGAAGCAAGAAGAAATGTCTCTGTATTATGGGAGGAGGCATCTGCCAGGGTTAAGAGTGGATAGATTAGTTGGGTTTTGTTTCGTTTTTTTTTTTAGAAGAATAAACCAGATCCTCTCTGCAGAGAATTGCTTTTCCCATCTGAAACCAAACTGCATGTAGAACAACCAGGGCCTAGCTGGCTGGAATACTGAAAATTCATATCAACGTGGCAAGTGTGGGGACCTCGCTTCTCTCGTGAGAGCTAGTAAGACCTGAGAACGGGAGCCACCTGCACTGAAAGAAGGAGAGAATGAAAGCACGTGTAATAAATTCCATTTGCTTGGCTTTTACATTAAAAGTGGAAAATATTCTATTTTCTCCAATAAATGTGAAACTGGGTGGTGTTTTTTTTTTTTCTTCTATTGTCGCTATTGTGTTCTTCAGGCCATAAAAAGGTAAAAATGGAACAAACAATATGATTAAATTTTTTCCTCTCATGACCAGCTAAGGAAAGAATTTAGGTGAAGCATACCCACAAAATTCAGTGCTCTATGAGAGGCTGTATAACTGTCTTCTGTGTTGAGTGTGCTAACCTTAACTCTTTAACCAGACTATAAGTAGTTCTGGGGGTATAAATGAAAGGGATAAAGATTAGTACTTAACAAGAAGGGCCCTGGGACTTCCCTGGCAGTCCAGGGGTTAAGACTCCGCCTTCCCGTCCAGTGGGTATGGGTTCAATCCTTGGTAGAAGCCATGCGTCCCACACAGGCATCAACAAAACCAAAACATAGAACAGAAGCAACACTATAACAAATTCAATAAAGACTTAAAAAATAGTCCAAGGTCAAAATAACAAAAAACAACTTGGAGAAAAGCTAAGCTGAAGCTTTTCCAACATGATTAGCTATGTGACCTTGAGCAAATTAAGTCTTTCTGTGTCTCAGTGTCCTCAACTATAAAATGGAAATGATAACATTAGTATCCATCCTGTAGGATTATTGCAGCCTGAGAACCATCTGTTCCTGGCACATAGTGGACATCTAATAAACATCAGTTATTATTTTTTTGTATTCCCAGAGTACTCTTCCAAAAACTCAGGCTCAGCCACGTTACTGTGCCTTTCAAAAACCTACAGAGGCTACCCCTTGTCACTGATGTAAAGGTCTCATCAGGCCAACTGAAGCTACCAGGTACCACCCCTAGACCCCCAAGTCCCAAGACATTCTCTCAATGTGCTTTAGCTGCTGCTACAATATCTTCACCACCACCCCTCAGAGATACACCGATTCATCTGAAACTCTTTCATGAGTCTTTGACTATTAGCATATTGTTCCCTTACTATTAGTAGACCAAGCTAGAACCATTGTCAGAGTCCAACAGTGATTGCTGGTACATAATAAATGCTCAGGAAACATTTACTTAAGATTGAACAACGTATCTGTTAATTTTTTTTCAAGATTTTCAAATGCCACAAATTCCTTGCATGTACTCTTTCTATATACCATGTATAAGACTAAACTTTCTTCTGGCTTCTAACAGTCTATTTTTTGGACAAATTTTATTCACTGATACTCATTAATATTATTAAACGTTCTCTAATACTACTTTTTAAAATTAACTGCTAACCTTTAAGCCGTTCTTATGATGGGCCAGGTTCTCGGCATATAACAAACTCATTTAATCCTCCCTATCCCACCCATAAAATAGGTACTGTTCTTATTCCACTTTCTTAAATGAGGAAACTGAGGCAGAGAGAAATAAAGAACCTGTCCAAAGTCACACCGATGGTAAGCAGAGGCCCGTTTTTCACCTAGTCTTTACCACTGCCTCTCCTATCCTGAGTCCCAGCTACATAGCTCATTGCCTCAATTCCAGTGTCAGTGGATCAAAGTTGCAGAAAAGCAATTCAACTCCGTACACGTTAACTTGTGGTTCTCTCTCCAGGGCTTCGGTGGAGCGTGTGGGGCCAGGGCCCACATCCTGCCATCAAAGTCTTGGACTTCCGCGGGATCTAAAGATGCGTTGTACTGGAGCATCATCCACTGTCTTCCGGGGGTTTCAGGACCCAAGCCACATTTCTGGTACTCTTCGATTCTGGCGATATCGAACTCCTTTTAGTTAACTCTGTCCGTGAACTCCCTCCCTGGCCCTCTAGCAAGTCAGAGGCGCTCAACTCAATTCAGCGAAGGCTTTGGCAAGTCCGACGGTCAAAGACTAGTTTACCTCCTCTCCCCCCGGGAGGAGCAGGACCAAAGAGTGGTCCAAACACATCCTTAACATCCCAGAACTAGGTCCTGCGCCCGCTGCAGACCCATCCCCAGCCCCTTGCCCCGCTCCCGCCCAAAGCTCTGGGTCCTGACCCCGCGCTCCAGTCTAAGAGCCGCCCTGGCCGCGGTCACGCCTCCCCCTCGCGCTGCTGACTCAACCGGCGAAGAGAAACCTCTCGTTTCCGACCTGTCCCTGGGCGCCCGCGTCCCGCCCCGCCCCGCCCACCATCCAAGCCCCCGCCCCGCCTAAAGTTGTCCTTCGGCTTTGCGCCCGCGGAACGCGTTGGCGTGACTCCCTGGGGTGTGGCCACGGAACTCAGGCGACGCCTTGCCGAAGGGCGGTCCCCTCCGCGGCCCGGAAAAGGAGACCCCGCGCGGCGGCAGCGGCGAGCCGGGCATGCTCACTGGCGCGGGCCGGGCCCGCAGCCCGGGCAGGAAGCGCCGGCGCTAGGCGGTCCCCATCGCTGCCAGCTGGAGTCGGGCGGAGCCGGAGCTCCAGCTCCGGGTGGTTCTGCCAGTCCCCGCGCGCCTGGGCGGCCGCACACGTGTCCAAGCGTCACGTCCGCGCGCGCCCCCGGGGCTTGCGTCAGCGGCCGCTCCGGGAGCGGGTGGGCCGGGGTTCTGCGCACCGCTCGGCTTCGGGGCCGCGACGCCGCCGGGAGGAGGAGTTTGGGGACGCGGAGGGGTGTTCGGAGCGCCGGGGACCGAGGAGATCGTCAGCGCGGTCCGGCCCCCCATCCTGCCCGGCGCCGATCGTCTCCGCTGCTCGGTCCCGGGCTGAGCGCGGTGGCGTTGCCCCGGAGCCCGCCGCCCGCGGGGCGCGCACCGCCTTGACCCCGGCGGCCCCGCGGCAGGCAGGCGCCCGCAGTTCCATGGTTGGTTCGGAGCGCGATGAGCCGCCCGTCCTCCACCGGCCCCAGCGCTAACAAACCCTGCAGCAAGCAGCCGCCGCCGCAGCCACAGCACGCTCCGTCCCCGGCTGCGCCCCCGGCCGCCGCCACCATCTCGGCTGCGGGCCCCGGCTCGTCCGCGGTGCCCGCCGCGGCGGCGGTGATCTCGGGCCCCGGCGGCGGCGGCGGCGGCGGCGGCGGCGGCGGCGGCGGGGCTGGCCCGGTGTCTCCGCAGCACCACGAGCTGACCTCGCTTTTCGAGTGCCCGGTTTGCTTTGACTATGTCCTGCCCCCCATCCTGCAGTGCCAGGCCGGGCACCTGGTGTGTAACCAATGCCGCCAGAAGTTGAGCTGCTGCCCGACGTGCCGCGGCGCCCTGACGCCCAGCATCAGGAACCTGGCTATGGAGAAGGTGGCCTCGGCGGTTCTGTTTCCCTGCAAGGTAAGCCCAGGTGCCAGCCACGCACCTCCGCCCGGCGAACTCCCGGGACTCCTGTGTCCCCCAGCTCATTCGCGGGCGCTGAGAGGCAGTGGGGTTCTTTCTTATTAACGGGGGGAAAAAAGTTTACACCGTGTTCGCCCTCCCCCATGCCACCTGTCCACTTTGGGAGCAGCTCTGGGCCGACTGCTGCCCCATCACTGACCCCAGCCTTATTGGCACGCGATCACGCTGTCCCCACCCGGAGCCTGCGTACGCTGCAGACGTGTACTCAGCCTGGGTAGAGCTGGGCCGCCGAAGGAAAACTTCGACCCAGAAGCTGACTATCTGGGGGGGACAGAGGAAGGGGGAAAGGAGCGAATTAAACGCACCCTTCGCCAGCGCTGGGCTTGGAAGGACTGGTACTGGATTCCTCTTGCCCCCCGCGTCTGCCTTCTGCGCACCCCTGACACGTGGGAGCCCTCGGGAGTGTAGCTAAAAAAAAAAAAGGCGCCTACAGCCTGTTTTCCTCCAACAACAAGAAAACCTTGTAAGCCACGCCTTTCCCTCTCCTAGCCTTCCAAGGATCGAGGAGTTGTGTTATTTTACTAAGTGGGGTGAAAACGAGAGTTGATGGGGCATTTAACTGGAAGGGCACGCAGGAGCTGTTACAGTTCTTTAAAGCCCACCACTTTATTTTTTGTTTAGTTAAAAAATTACCGGTGCTCTTGCAAAAAAAAAAAAAAGGGGGGGAGCACATCACTGAGACAAGTGAAAGACCCAGACGTCTCGCCTCCTTTCCCACCGATGTTAGGTTTAGTATGCATCTGCATGGGGTTTTTTCTAACCATGTATAAATACACTCTCCGCAGCTGAATATAGAATGGTAGATGTTAATGTCAGGAAGGTTTATATATGCACACATAAGTTTTTCTCCAAAAATGGCTTCTGCAGCTTGCTGACTTAAGTCCATCACACATATTTTTATATGTCTGCAGCCTACCTCTATCTCATTGTATTTCAAATGGCTGCATAATTTTGCATTGTGTGGTCATACTGTAACATCAGTTTACATCTTTTGGGTAAAAATCTTCAGGAGCAGTTTCAGAAGCAGATAGAGACATATCTATCTATATTACCGCATTATAACCTAGAATTTTACCATACAGTTCATTTTTTAAACTTAGAAATAATGTCATTAATATTTTTGGAGTTTTTTTGGTAAAGCGCCTCATGGGCCATCTAGGCTCTCTTGCATTGATTTCCTTCACTGCGGCTTAATTTTATAGGGCAAGGGCTTATTTTTAAATTAAAAATAATCCACCAGAGAACTGAAGCTTGGGACACATGTCAGTAAAATGAGTGATTTAATTTGGTCTCTGCCCTGCCACAAATAGGGTTTAAAATAGCATATTCAAATAAGCGTTTGAAATTGTGTCTGAGCTATGGGTTTTCAGTCAACCTTAATAAATTAATCATGCTTTGAACCACTCCTCATGTCATGCTTACTAATGCACCCAGCCCAGGAGTAGTTTGTCATTAAATTTAGACAAAACAGTTTCAAAATTTTCTTAGGGTCACGAACAAGGAGGCAGCTAGTGATCAAGGGAAGATTTGGTGATTGGTGACATAAGAGTGGCTATGTGAGGTTTGAGATATTTTGTGGTAGCTGGGGGAGTAGGTAGGGGATGCCCCACAGAGTTTCTGGGGAGCCATCTTCTCAGCCCTTCACTTTCCCCTAGGCCTTCAGTGGCTAACAGAAGAAATGACTTCAGATGAATAACATTTTACAAATGAGCATTTGATATCAGTCAGCTATCCCTATCTGCCTGACAATGCAGGAGATGCGGGTTCGATCCCTGGGTGGGGAAGATCCCCTGGAGAAGGGCATGGCAGCCCACTCCAGTGTTCTTGCCTGGGGAAATCCCGTGGACAGAGGAGCCTGGCGGGCTACAGTCCACGGGGTCACAAGAGTTGGACGCGACTTAGTGACTGAACAAGCTAGCCCTCATTTATGTTGCTTGCTCCCTAGAGAATGGAGGCAGTTATAACATGCTATATGAAGTGTGAAGTTTCACTTTCAGAATCCAGAATTCTTGTTCCTCCTGAAGTATATATTCTTTCCTAATGTGATATGTCTTGAAGAGTTCTCTTGGGAATCAAGGGTATCCAGTGTTTCTGTATATGTCACTGATTTTTAAAAAGGTCCCATTCTGTAAGACTGCAGTTAGACAAAGCCATTGCTTTGCAAGCTGAAATTAAACAAAGTCAACCATCCCCCTACAGACCAGGAACCCAGCTTAGAAAGTGATCTGGGTTGGGGGGAGGGGGGTGTCACTCTTGTGTAAATACATACATGTGAGATTTATAAAGCTGGAATATGCACGCCTCAACTTTGATCAGTAATCCAGACTATTGACAGGGGAGCTCAGCCAGTTAGTCTGGATAAATCACACTTGGATGGATACAGAGGCCCAGCAAGCAACTGAGATAATACTTGTTGGGGAGGCTGAGAGCAATAGGGAGTGGTGAGGCCTGTGGCAGACTTCAGCACAGTGGTCTGCTTAGCCAGCCCTGTGCTTCTCGCTTGCTCCTGGAAGTCACAGGGACGGCTTTGTCCCCACTTGCTCTGAGTCTCTCAGGGCCTGGCTCGGGGAAGAAGACCCGTGTTGGGTGAAATGCCAGAAGCCAGCTCTCCAGAGATGCCTGGTGCTGCCACTGTTTGCCTGAGCGACTACCTCTGGGGGCCTGATGTCCTCATCTGTAATGAGGGGATTGGGCTGCTCAGCTCCTAAGGACCTGCAGCTTCTAGAACTCCATGAAAAGAAGGGCGGCTCTGTGGAATGATTGCTGAGGCCCTCTGCATGCCAGCTCCTTTGTGTGGGTTATCTTTTATGAGTCTACTTTTCTTATTCTCAGGCGAGGAAACATGCGCCTCTAGAGAGGTTAAGAGTTAAGTGACTTGAGATCACATGGTGGACCAGTCCATAAACCTTCATCCTGAAGGCACACATCCTTTGATTTGGAGTCTGAGGTTATACTCGGAGGCTCCAGATCACAACCTGAGGCTGACACCAGTAACAAAATCTTCCGGCTGGATGAGGTCACCAGATGGACACATCCCCATGAGACAACATAGCTGCCGACTATAAAGTTTATTGGGAGGAATTTTTTAGGGCTTGGGGGGTGGGAAGATCAGGGGGTGAGGGGGAATAGCTTATACACCCAATATTTGAGGGGACTTCAGTCCAGCTCTGAATCGCTCATGCTTCCATTGGCCCCAAAGTGGAAAGAAAGTGAAGTCGCTCAGTCGTGTCCGACTCATGACAGCCCCGTGGACTGTAGGCTACCAGGCTCCTCTGTCCATGGGATTTTCCAGGCAAGAATACTGGAGTAGGTTGCCGATTCCTTCTCCAGGGGATCTTCCCGACCCAGGGATCAAACCTGGGTCTCCCGCATTGCAGGCAGATGCTTTACCCTCTGAACCAGGGTATGAGTTACCAAAAAGCCTCCTTCAGTAAGTATGGTTGAGGGGAGGGGGTCACATAATCAAAGGCTAGAGTCCTGCCAGCACCTGTGACAGAGGGCAGCACCTGCACTCTTAGCTCGGACCTCCTTTTAAAAAAGGCTGTCTCTCAGAGTATGGCTCTCTGCCCCCTGGGGTATATTTAGTCCATTCTATGGCTCGTGCCATGCCTGAGAAGTTTTGACATCCTGTCCCCTTATCACAAACCCACCATCATCTCTGGAGAGCGTGGATGTAGGGGGAGAAGTGAAGGTTGACACACTGGGGCCCCCCACTCAACAGTGTATTTTAATATCAGCCAACTATTTCTCTCCAAAACCATGAGAAATGCTAAAACACCCTCCAGCCCTCTTTCATGATCAGACATTTTCTTTCCACTTTTTCTTTGGGGCTTCCCTGGCGGCTCAGACGGTAAAAGAATCTGTCTGAAATGCAGAAGACCCAGGTTCGATCCCTGGGTCAGAAAGATACCCTGCAGAAGGGGATGGCCACCAGCTCCAGGATTCTTGCCTGGAGAATTCCCCCAGCGGCTACAATCCATGGGGTTGCAAAGAGTTGTTTCTCTCCAAAACCATAAGAAGTGCTCACACACACCCCAGCCCTCTTACACTATGTGACATTTTCTTTCCACTTTTTTCTTTGGTTTCTCTGTAGAAGTTTTTGGCAGCATTATCTCCAAATACTGAACTAGAAAGCCTCGTCAGATACTTCTTCTCTGTGGTTGGATTATGAGAGTGTTGTTTGTTTTTTTTTTTTTTTTTTTTTTAAACTGAGGGACTTCTGCGATGGTCCAGTGGTTTGGACTTTGTCTTCCAGTGCAGACGGTGTGGGTTCAATCCCCGGCTGGGCAGCTAAAATTCTACATGCCTCTGGGCTGAAAAACCAACATTAAAATAAAAAACAATATTGTGACAAATTCAGTAAAGACTTTAAAATGGTCCACATCAAAAAAAAAATCTTACAGTCAGATCAGATAATCCAGTTGAAAGTTAAAATGTGTGGACTGATCTAGTCCAGTGGGGACAAACCCTAAACACTGGCAGGGACAGGTCATGCAAGGGAGAGGGGCATCTGCCATGTGACCTTAGGGTTCAAGCGACGTCAGGGACAGTGGAGGTGGCTGGGAGTTGGACCACAACTTTTACTCAACTCTGGCTGATTGGCCAGGATGGGAATGTGATTGCAGCCATGCTCGATCTTTGGATTTTTTCGAGAAAAGTCAGAAATCTGTATTTTTTTAAATGTTAAATATCTCGATTTTTTTTTTTTTAACATTGTCCAAACTCAAATGTAAAGCCAGCACTTGCAGGCCAAACCAACCGTGTCTGTAGGCCAAACCCCAGCTTCCAGGGTGCAACTTCTAACCTGGTTCTCTTTCAGAAAACATCCAGTGAGCCTGGAAGTTCTTACCTGACTCTGAGAATATATGAACTCTGGAGTTCTGATAGGTCCTGAGTCCTGACTGTTACAGCTTACTGCCTTTTCATCTTTGTTTTGC